TATATATTCATATGTGTGTGCGAGTGTGTATATATATCCCATATTCCCGGGTTAGGTTAGATTTTAAAAGGGCAATGAGCAAGAGAAAAGTCGAAGAAATTTGTTCCCAGACGAAAATTGGAGCTACATTTTTTGACTTGTAAAACTTGAGAGTTATGATATCGTATAACTTCAGGCCAGAATGGATTCCCTCAGAGGCTGCATCGTTTTCACTTGGAGGGCTTGCATTCAGGATTGTTACTAGAATTCAAAGGATTTGGGAGGTTATTTACTTATTTCTGTGCTGGGGGGTTGAACCACATGCTAGGCCAGCTGTCTACCCCCTGAGTTACTTCTCCAGCCCCAGGACACTATCTTTACTTCCATAAGAAATTTACCTGCAAACTGAGTTGGGCCACTTTAAAAAAAAAAAAAAAAAAAATCCTGCCCTGCTGTTGAAAAGATTCCGTCATCTAACTGGATGTCTTATGGAAATCCAAAGTCAATCTAGAAAGCTTCCCCCAAGATGGTCATACTCACTTTTAGTCAGAGAGAACTGAAAATCTCCTCTGTGGAAACATCATCTCCCTGAGTTTCCTTCCCTATAGATTCTCCAACAATACACTGGGCATTACAGTTTTGTTTGGAAATAAACCTCTCTGTGGAAGCTAAGTTGATTCTGCTGTCCTCTTCCAGCATCAAAGATGAAATAGAAACACAGTCTTATGTATTTGGATGCCCAAATTCAGCCTAGAATCAATCTCTTCCCCACCCCCAATTACAATCATTAGCAGCAGACTTTTTTTTTTTTTTTTTTTTAACTCAGGAACTTCTCACATATATCACTTATATAGCTTTCCATCCTAACATCCTCCTGTTTCTCACCTCTGCTCATTCAGGCCAAGATAAGTTTGGGCTGCTGCTTTTGTAGTTGGAAATCAAGGTCTCATTTGCATGATAGAGTTGCTCAGGGTTTACAAATTATTTATCTCAGACTAATTCCTTCACACCTTCAGAAAAACAGTTGACTAATCCCAGATCATTAATGGGATCTTTGGTTCTAACTCTTGGTGAACTTAGCAAAGAATGTTTTTAGAGACAAGCTTCTAGAAGGAACCCCTGATGGGAGTCACACTTATGCAGTTTCTTGCTTGAGCTGGGTCACAGGGAGGACAGAGTCATTAAGAATAGTAATAATAATGGGAAGCTGAGATGGCATACTTGTACATCTTAGTTATTAAACCAAATTTAATATAGAAAAGAATTGTTCATTGAAATTCATGAGGACAAATATCCTTAAGCCTCCTAAGAGAGGAGGCAGAGGTGTGAGAACCAGTATTACCTATTGTTTTCTGTGCTTTCATTTTTCTGGAAAGGGGTGGTTGGCTGGTGTTGGGAGTTGAATTGGGCTTGTCTTTGGATTGTGTGGGTTGTGTTTCTCTCTCTCTCTCTCTCCACCCCACCTCCTCCCTCTCTCTCTCTCTCTCCTTTCTCCCCTGCTTATCACTTTAGATTTCCTTTTCCACCACTAAGCAATAGGGAAACATAGATGTGTTTCTTCAAATCTCTACTTTAAATAATGAAGTACATTAAAGAGCAAATTTCAGTACTCTTGTCTCAGGACTGCTGCCATCTCTGCACCTGTAACTCAGAGGATGAAAACACTGGTTATTTATGTTGTACTTTCTGCCTCTCTGATCTCCAGCAAGTTGACCCGATTTTTATAGCCCTTTTACCCAAGCGATGACGAGATTCTTCCCCCACTTCACATCCCCTCCGCCCCATAACTGAGTGGCTTAGGAGATCTGTAACTGGGATGAAGCAGCTGTTGGCTTCATGCCGTCCTCTAACTTGATTATTCTTTGGACACGTTAGGCAAGCATTAGTGATTGATAATGACGCTAATTAACCCCTTTCCTTTCCAAACAGTAAACTGCTGCCAGCAGGATGCTACAAACAATAAATATAAAACACTGCATACATCAATATCTGTTTAAAGCACAACTTCATTTGGGCACATTTAACTGTACTGCTTTCAGTTAACAATTTGGTATTTATTCAAGCACTTCTCCAAGAGCCCAAGGGTGAGAAACAGAGGAAAAGAGGGTTAAGAAAAGGGTCCTGTGGCTTTAAGACCACAAAATGTTGTCATACCTGTCAGTTGCAACAAAGTTAAGCTCTAATGAAAACCATGCGGGGTTTTTTTTTTTTTTTAATTTCAGGTCTATACTGTTTTAAAACTTAATGAATCCAGATTTGTTCTTAACATACTTAAACTTAGCACAAATCTGATGACCACATATAATTTTTTTTTCTTTGTGGGGGAAATCAACTCTCCTGCCTGACAGAATTATTGAAAATTTACTTCTGGTTGAAAAAAAAGAGTGGGGAGATATTGTTTTGTACAATGGTAAAATTTGGACTTGAAGCAGGACTTGGGGAAATCGAGGCAAACTGGATCTGATTGTGCAGTCTAACATAACCTGTGTTATAAAGAAATGTACATTAAATTTAGAATTTTGATAAATGAATATTCCTAGCAAGTGAATAAAATGTATTCAATTAACTAAAACCCTGTGCACTTCTGAACTGAAGTGGAATCGACTGTAATTGATTTATTTGAAACCAGAGGTTAAGGACTGAATTAGCTAAGTACAACTGGGTATTTCAAGCCACTGACTTCTCAAATGTCAAATCCCTTCTATTTTAAATATTATTTCAGCTGCGGGGCATAGCAGTTCTGATGGTAGTTCCATCAAGAACACAAATTATATTAATATTCGATTTTGGGGAGGAATGGGTCGGATTGTGGTTTTTAAAGGGTGTTGGAGAATAGAAGGGGCAAGGATGATAATCAAGCTGAAAAGAACATTGTGTTTCCAGAAAAATGGAGTGTGGTGATTAGCATAGCCTAGTGAGTATCTTGATAATTCAACTATGTATCCTAATTTGATTTAATCCAAAGAGAATCACTGTTGTTAATATATAAACACCTGGCTGGTCAAGTAATCACCAAGTGCTTTAGGAAGTATATAGTGGTCACCAGAGAAAGTCAAAATCCACATTGGTTTTGGTTAGTCCAGTAAAAATTATTTTTGGTAACAACCTCCCTAATCCATATATATATATATATATATATATATATATATATATATATATATATCCTTTAATTTATATACATGTATATATTCCATGTATATGGAATATATATTCTTTAAATTTTTATTAAAAAAAAGAAAAAGAAGGACAAATTTATGATCCTCAAATCATCCAACTACAGAATAAAAGTAACTAATTCCCTGCATTTGGAAACCATTGTTTATTATGACCTTGTAATGTTCTAACCCACTATTTCCTTTCTATCTTTCTCAGGATGCAAGGATTATATTGAGTTCAGGCTTTCCAACATAACAAGCATCTGTAAATCCAGATATGAATGAATGGTATTTAATAAGATTGTTTTCGTTTTAAAATGAGTATTTATGTGTCGTTGGAGAAAGAGCAGCAATGTATGGCTGTTTATGAATGCTATTGTGCCTGAGGTTAGGATCCCCCACACAATCTGAGATGCAGCCAAGAAAAACAGCCCTGATAGACAATGCTTCACTTCACCTGCTACGATGCTGAGTGCATTTCATTTCTGTCAAGAGTATGTACAGTTAGGGTTCATTCGCCTCATTATTTTGTTACATCTACGTCACAGTTAACCAGTCTCTCTAGGAAATAATAAATAACCGCTTTAAAAAACAATTGCTGCCTTGCGTTCTGAGAATACACTTTCCATTTGAATTTTTTTTAAAAACCCACCATTGTTATGAATTCTCTGGCTTTGGAAAATAGAATTTAGACTCCACCAACTCGTTTGTTTGTCGAGATTGATTTTACCCTGCCTTCCATAAGGAGATTAGAAAGCAAAAGACTGCAAAATGGACACTCTCTAATGCTTTGCTTCCTTGGTCCTTCAGAATGTCAAACCACATGAACAGATGTTAAGTCCCCCTCCCCCAGTATATTTACCTACACACTTTTTCTATGACCTTCCTATAAACCTTCCACTTAACCAACCCCTTTCTCTTGTTAAAAAACCTCCTCACTTCCAAAGCAAAGAATTTCCAAAGCTCTGACTTCGCCATCTTTATGTACAGGAAGTCCTCCCTCCTCTCAGAGCTCAGCACACAGTCCTGTTATTGTGGAAGACAGATAGGAGTGGTCTGACAGGCAGGCTCCACAGCCCTCCCCCACCCTCTACACCCCACCTCAGAGACCATTTTGTATTTCTCAAAGGTCCTAGGAGGAGCCCTGTGGTGATAGAAAGGGGGGTGGGCTGGCATTAAGGGGGTAAGCAGAAAAGATTCCAGGAATCAACATAATTTCTCACTCCCCTCTGCTACCTCCAGAGCTCCTTAAGAACAGCCCAGGAGTAAATTCTTCTCCAGGTAAAATATAAAAATAAATGGAGACAAGTTGCCCTCTCTATTCTGTGGTCTATTTCTACCACGGCTCCTTCTCTCCCCCAAGAAAAGTAGAGCCAGTTTTAAGTTTCTGACATGGCTTAGCCACAGAGAAGCCAGAGCAAACAAATGCAGGTTGAAGTGGGTATTTCCTTATTGCTAATGAACTAATAATTTAAATTTCAGCTATCTTCAGAGACAGATTCCAAAGTAGTTATGGGGGTGGGGTCTTCGGTTCTTCCGTTCTCCATTATCCTTGTCATCCTTAATGATTGGTTCTGAAGGTTTTATATTTTGGTTTCCAAAACGCAAATGAAAACCTAAAGGATCAACATAAATAAATAAAACTTTATTTTTAATAATAAAATTAATGTTTCTGGTAAGGAAAAGATAGTATGTCATTCCTTTAGCGGTACAAACAATCTTTTATCCAAAAGAATACATTGGGTTTTATTGTATCATTTGTCTGAATACAGACTCAGTGGAATATCTAAATGATACCCTGCTCTGAACTCCAAGTTGAAAGTAAGTTTTTATTATACTTGAGGGAAACAATGGGTTCAGCTGCTTATTGCAAGGAGCAATTGCCAAGGGAGAGTTAAACTCAATTACTGTAACCATACTGAATAAAAAATACTGCCAAGAACAAAAATACGCCTGGGTAAAGACAGCCACTGAATAAAAAAAAATCGACATAAAGCGTATCAAATATTTATTTATCTGGGCAACAAAGGACTATGATACATTGACAGGCATGGAAAGTACTGCCAGCACAACTCAATACAATACAACTAGAACTGCTTCCAATATGGCCAGTGAAAATACAGAATACCAGGTGGTCCCAAATGTTTGGAGTTCTCTGAACAAAAAGAGTGAGAGAAAGAGGAAAAATCCCTAACCCTTGGTGTAAAGACAATACTCATTTATTGCTCAAATGATGCTTTTAAGGGAGGACAGTGGAACAAAATAATTTTTTTTCTCCTCCCCACAAGACATAGAAGGGTTATCAAACCACTCAAGTTTAAAATTTTTGTTTCCAGGGTCCAATATCACTTTTTTTTCTTTCAGTTCAATGAAAAGCTAAATGTAATACTAATTATGTATAAAATTTTATTTTACTTTTTTTTATTTGTTCAGCTGTTTCATTGTCATCTTTAACATGCTACAACAGGGCTAAACTCATGAATCCCGGGAGGGGGGGTGGGAATCCCCCAAACCTTGAATTTCTAAATAAGTACCATGAACCACATGAGGAACTAATAGGGAAGATTCAAAATCCACTAAACAAGAGGTAAACGAGATCACCAGATAAATTAAAAAAAAAAAAGGGCGAAAAAACAGACTCACCATATTTACAAATCCCATTAAATTACACATAAATAAATATATACAGACATGAACACTGATTCCCTTATATAACTGTGAATCGTGTTGCTGGAGAAAGTTCAAGTTGGTCGCTTTACCTTGAAGAGGAAAAACTTCTACAACTGAAGACATGACATGGAACTTCGTGTATTTGTGTTCAAGTTTATTCACAATACTGATAAAAATGTCATTATCCTCTTTGCCTTTTTTTTTTTTTAAGTATGGCTACAATCTGAACTGAAGAGTGTAAGGGAAGGTGGTGATTCAGTCCCATGAAGCTCAATATAATTTTTTTAAACTTTTTTTATGTTCTTTTTTTTAGAAAAAAAAAAGTTTTTTTAAATGTTTTTTTTTTTTAAAGTTTTTGTGGTTTTACTGTTGTTGTTTAAAAAAAAAAGTTCACAACTCGACAGAACTTTTCTTGGCTGGCTCCACGGCCCGTTCTGTTCTCTTAGGCTCCACTTGAGGGCGGGGGCGTGGTCCAACGGGGAAGTCGAGGCACCGGGCCCAGTCGACAGCGGCTGCCCACTGGCAGTCGAGCGAGCCGTCCGGAGGACCCAGGGACCCGGGGCACCGGAGGGCGGCGGCAGCGGCAGCAGCAGTAGCAGCAGCAGTGAGGGTCGCCGGTCCGGAGCTGTCACCTGCCGGTGGGGGAGGGGCCGAGTGGGCGCGCGGGCTGGTGCGGCAGGCGGCGGGCGGGCGGGCGGGGCCGGGGCGGGAGGAGAGCCTCACTTTCTGTGCTTCTCCTCTTTGTCACTGCTTTTGGCGCTGTTGTCCGTGTGGCTGTTGGGGTTGTTGCTGAGGTACATTTTGTCCATGGCCTTGAGGGCCTCGGTGAGATAGTTCTGCAGCGCGGTGACCGCGGCGCACACCGCCGGGCTGCCGAAGCCATGGGAGATGAGGTTGAAGTGAGTCAAGCAGCTCTGGATGCCGGGCTCCAGGATGGGGTTGGGCCGCGAGTTCCCCAGGGGAGATCGGTCCTGAGCCAGCAGGTCGGTGAACTCTTTGCATATCTGTCTGCAGCACAAGCAGAGCAGGGAGAGAGGGTGAGGCTCCCCTCGGGCAGCGCCAGCAGCACACAGCAGACCTTTCTCCCTGCAGTGGCCCCCGCCCCCATCCACAGCACCTGGCAGGACCCAGAGTTCTCGTGGCCACAGGCTGGGATACCAGTCACTCCCAGTGCCCACTAAACCATCTCTCCTTCCTTAAATGCACGGCCCCAGGGCCTGTGAAAACGTCTGCATCCCCCTCTGTTACCCACTACCAACTCTCAGATCCAACAAACTTCTATCCCCACCTTTCCCATACCAAACATCCTAGACCTGGGAAGCCATGTCACACACAGAATAAGAGAAGTTCAACCAGAAGTCAGAAATACTTCTGGGCTTCCTACCCATAGGATACAGGCATCAGCCTTCCTTTCCCAAAAACCCTCTTCCTTGTTTCTCTAGAGAGAACTCAGCAGCATTCTGTGGAATAAAGTTTCCACTATTTGCCTTCAAATCAAAGCAGGTTGAATTTGTTCAGAGAAGCAAAACTTTGCTCAGGATTATTTTGCTTTCAAAAATAAGTTGGCACAAAAAAAAAAAAAAAACTGTTACTAGGTGATGATTCAAGGTAGTTTGGAGGAAAAAGAAACAGTTTCCCATTCCCCCTATTCCCATATACACCTTAAATTAAAATTCTTTAGGGAAATTGTAAATGTGGGTGTGCTTAGGAAGCCATGGGAAGAGGAAAAGTTGAAATTTCAGAAATGGTCTTGAAAAGTCACAAATGTAGACAGAGGAGGCCAGTACAAAGAAGTTCTGCTCCTGAACCTGAAAGCAGGGACTAGCAGGGGCCTTCCTGAGGTAGGGCAACCTGGCCTGGGGGGCAGTAGGGGTTTGTAGGAGGAAGAACAAGCAGTATTGGCTGGCTGGCTTCACTGAGGCCAGCTGATGTCCCCAGGCCAGAAATCCTGTCCCACCCAAGGCTCAGCTTCTCCCCTCTGGTTCCATGCCCTCCTCTGACATCGACTTTTGATAATTAAGGGCTTCCAAACAAGCCTTTTAATTTCCAGAAAACATATCAAAACAGTCATTTTCTTTTCACACACCACCTGGAGAAGTCTTTTCAGCCCAGGCACCAATGGGAATATAACTTAGGCCATTTTGAAACCTATTTGACATCTTGCCTGTAGGCTAAAACTTGTGTGTTTGTGTGTGTGTGTGTGTGTGTGTGAGTGAGAGAGAGAGAGAGAGAGAGAGAGAGAGAGAGAGAGAGAGAGACACTGACTTCTGAGGAGGGAAGAGAAAGAGAGATAAGAAATGGAATTCAGGATTAGTGTGAAAGCAGGACAGCTCTGACTTCTCTATTTTGCAGGCCACCGCTTAATCTTTGCCCTTGAAGAACATATTGATGGGAGAGAAAAACTGATATAGGCAAGTCCACAGCCCCTTTGAGGATTTGATTCTGAGCCTTCTCAAACAGTCACAAATCCACATTCAGCTTCAAATTTCTCCTGTATCTCACCCCCATACACATTCATTTACAATTTTTTAAAATAAGAAGAGAGAAGAGAGGGAAAATATGGCCCCACACTAACAATCCCACTTGTGTTTCTCTTTGCATATAGATGAGGGTTTTTAAGGCTGTATTGTAACTTCAGTATTTACAACAACAAAGCCCTGAATGCAAAAGGGAAACAGGAGAAAATGGAGTGCAAAAGCAATTTTTCTTTCTCTCAACAATGAGACACAGAGACCCTGCAGAGGTAAATGCCTTACTTTGTAGCCAGGAGCATGTTTTTTCTTGTCACTTGCTCATTGGGATCGGAATGTTGTCGGTTGAGAAATTCAGCTACTGCTTTGGCAGGAAATTCGGTTTCGCACACGTACCCAAAGTCCCTGGCTAGGTGGACCGCTTCTCCTGGCAAGGGGTAAAAAGAGGGAGGTGAGGGCAAGGGAATGAAAAAAATTGGGATCAAAACTTTCTCTCCACTCCCTTATTTTCTTAACCCCAAAGTTGAAGGAAACACAAACTACTTGTTTTCTCACTTCGGTCATTTTCTTCCTTCTCTATAGGATCTGGTAGGTGCACTGATCAACAAACATAACATCTGTCCTAAAAAGCCAAGATGATTTGAAAATGTGAATCCCTCCACCATCTCCAGTTCCATTCTGTCTTGAAGAACACTTCCCCAACTTCTCTTTTAAAATGGCTCTTATATTCCAACCTCACACCTATCAACACTTTCATAAACGATATTCATAATTACTCCTTGAGCTTTTCTGCAAGGGAACAACTGGGGGTTTACATTTTAACTTGATCACATATAATTATCTGTTCATCCAAACCGATTAACCAGGAGGATTTGAGGGTCACTCCACTGAGTCTGTCTGTGTTGTTGATTTTCGAATCTTTGGTTTTAATTTCCTGAACCAGTTGGTTTTTACTGCAGGGCTTCCTGCCATTAGCTCCAGCTCCGGAAGAACGCATGCGCCAATTAGAGCATCAAAGCCCTCTCCGCAGAGCTTGTTTCCATAAAATGGAGCGGATCACAAACAATAACAGTTCTCCAGAAACAGCCTCCCTGCCAGAGCACTCAACCCCCAGACCCAGACCAGCTCTCAAGCTGCACCCTGAGCCACCACCCTCATTTCCATGGCATGTAATTCTTTGGGGGTATGAATCGTGGCTTCTCTATGTACTGCTATTATTTTCATAGAATGCTACTGTAGTTGAGTTTCTGGCTCTGAACAATTGTGGGTTTTTTAAACAGTTATATTATTATCATTTTGGCACCACTAACAGATGGAAATCATAGCAGTCCTCCTCAAATACATAGTTTTAAACATTTAAAAAGTAATTTACAAAGCTATAGCTTGGATTCAATTGCAAACTGTCTTCTCAAATACAAGATGTAAATAAGATAAAATGCCTCCTTTAAATGTGAATGTTACTTGTAAAAAAAATCTACCTGATAATTTAAGCAGCTTTCTTTTTTCCTATGAGCATTTACCACAAGACAGGAAGACAAAAGAGAGCTTTACATTCATTTCAAAACCCAAACTTAAGCCAATTTAGTATTACAAAAAAAAAAAAAAGTGGGAATCTAGAGGGGGCAGGAATGAGAAGGGACCCTAGTGACAGTTTATCTAGAGCTGGGAGTTAGGACAGCATTGGCTTGTTTTGAGGAGTCTGGAAGGTGTGTGTGTGTGTGTGTGTGTGTTAAAAACTTTCTTGCCATGAGAAACTTTCTTGCAATCTTGTATTTCTTTTTTCTTTCTATATCCAAACAATCCAAAGTCTAAAATTGCTTTCTTCCCCTCCAGGAGAGAAGCACAATTAAACAAGAGATAAGGGAGCATATGTTTGGAAAACAAAAACCTACAAGGGCATATAACCCTGAGCTTTCAGGACGGTCTTAAATCAGGCTGCAGGTCAAAGATTCCCAAATTAATTCAGGAAGTAATGGTCACGCATTTCTCAAACGCAGATGTCAGAATAACTTAAGTGATTAACTGCTGAGTTCTTTAAAGGAGACAGGAACTTGGAGAATGTGAGTTCTTAAATTTGTGCATTGTTTAGGTCAGAAATGGGTTGGGAAGGTGAAATTTTGTGGTAGAGGGGGAAAAGGAAGAAGGATAGGAATATATGCAAATAGTTTTTTGGCATGCAAGAATTTTGTTCACTTCCGGCTACATTCTTTAGAAAGATGAAACTGCCCAATTGACACAAAATATACCCAAACATCTGGCCACTAAATATTATCCATTTCCGAGAGGCAGACTCTTCTAGTTAGCAACTGGATTCGCTTACCCTCCACTAGTGATGTGAGCAGGGTAACGTTGGCAGCTTTACGTCTCCCTGCTGGCAGATTTAATCCTATTTTGTCCAGTTTTTCTCTTAAAGATCTTCCTCCATTTTTAGACTTCGCCCTGTTTCATAAATATATGTGAGATAGGGATTTAGAACACATTGGGTTGTTCTGCATCACATTAAAGTCATTTTGAAAGCTTCCTAAAATTGCTCTCAAAAATTCAGAAGTATGGCCCAGAGACATTTAAAGGAAGGGAACCTAGGAAGGAGTGGTACAGAAAGATTATAGGAGATAAATGCTTGTTAAACTGTAAAGCACCTCCTGCGTTTGGGTGTTATTGCAACTCTTGTGGCAGGCTGGAAGGTTCTGATTTCCCAACTTTCTAGAGAACCACAAACAAACACAGCTCTGATCTCTAAAGTTGGAGGCATTCTTGAGTGCAACTGATTACTGTATATTTTCCCTGTTGTTACAATCACACAGATCCCAATGGGGTCTTTAAATTGTCTTTGCAAGATCTGCAGTTAGGTTGTTCAGAGTAACCAAAGTTTTCATCACTCTCACGTTTCATGCTCTGGCTTTAGCCCCAATGGGAAATTCATTTCACCAACTGTTTACATGCCATGTCACCAGCCTAACTGGAAATGTCAAAGGCTGATATCAGCCTTAAAATATTTCCCCGATTTCAGAAACAATGGAGGCGGTTCTAAATAGATGTCTAAATAGACTCCCATAATCAGAAAGTGGTTAAGATAAATTGTTTAAATAAAACAGCAAATTAATTAATTTCAGATTTTATTCCCTACTCAAGTGCTCTTTAATTGTGTGGATTAGATTATACTCCCCTAGGTAAACAGTCTCCAATATTGAAGATGGGGGAAGGGGAGGAAAAAGCAGAGGGCAGAGAAAAGATTGTGTCAGTGAAAGATTACAAAAGGAAAGCAGAGTGACTGGGAAAGAGGAAGAGATGAGATTCGCTGCTATTAGAACCTCCCCAAACACCCTTAGAGAGGATCTGGATGGGATATACCCACCAGGGTAGAACTGTTGAGTCCACATATAGATAAATAAATGAATAAGGTCAAAACAATGAACTTCTTGGTCTTATTTAAGGAGGAGAAGGGAGAGGAGAGTAATAAACATACTAAGCAGGTAAGTTCAACACAGGACCCCACAACTCACAAATCTAGGAGGAAGCGAGCAGCAAGAAACCTGCTCCAGGGAAGGTGCTTTACCTCACTGACTCTTTACAAAAGCTTATCTGCGAAGTGAATCTATTCCAACCCGGCAGGGGCGAAACACCACGTAGGACACATGCATTCTTTGGTAGCGACTACACATCATGCATATGAAACGGGCCTGCTCGCTGCCTGGCACACATCGCAGTAAGTCAGAACCAGCAGACGCCTCCGGCACCCGGATGGCTGTCTGATGGGAGGTAACAGCGACCAGGGGGCGTGGCGTGCGCCCTCGAAACCTTTCCCTTTCTACAGCTAAAAGTCACTCTTTTGAAACCCTAGTCAAGGGACGGCCCAGGTACCGTCCAAGTCTCTCCACAGTGGTAGGGCAAAGCGAAGAGCCTGAGAGGAAGTTTCCCTGGGCTTGCAAGGTGTGTGCGAAAAGGGAATAGTGGCTGCACGGCGCCCCACGGCTGCGGCGGCCGGGACTGAGCCCGTAGCGGAGCGAGCTGCGCGTGCGCGCACCGGAGCACGCAGGACCCCGCGAGCGCGCGCCAGAGGCCCCGAGAGCGCGGGACGGTATTGGAGAGCGCAGGCGCGCGCTGCTTCGCTCCGCCCCCCCAGCTCCCACCCTCTTGGCTCTACGTTCTTCTCCCCGCCCCTTTCTTTTCCCGCGAAGGGAGGGCCCGGTGCAAAGCGCGTTTGCGCCACCGCCGTCGCCCTGGCGCAGGCGCATGGCTTCCCGGACCGCGGGGCGGGACGGGCGGGGCCGCGCGGCGCCTCACCTCCGGAGCACTCCGCCCAGCAGCGACGCATTTAGACATTCGGGCGGTGAGAGGCGCCGCTGCACTTCCGCCACTGTGACCTTGTACTTCGAGGTGGAGCTGAGGAGTGAGAGTCGACCCGGAACTGAACAGAAAACTTCGTTGGGGTTCACCACGCCACCGAAGAGGTTGTCCTTGTTAATAGGGATGGCGGAGACGGCGTTGCTGTTGGACTTGGACAGGGACACGGGGCCTGCGGAGACAGATGGGGAGGCCGCGTGTGGGCGTCGAGGGTCCCCCGCTAAAATCTTGCCGGACCGGGTTTTTGCCCCGGGCAGGGGCGGGTTCCCAGACTTGTGCCGCTCACCCCGCTTTCTTCCCGTCCAGCTCTGAAATTCGGAAGCTCTTTTTCCCGTTTCCTCAACTCCATTCCTATCCCCTGTCCTAATCCCTCCTCGATTCGAGCCTCGGTTTCTAGGTGCCAACCAGGCCTCTGTGTCTGACCTGACCCTTTTCCCTTCCCCTAAAGGGTGCTGGCTAGAGATGGGTGGTGAAATTGCGACCCCTTGGGCTCTGAGCATCCGAGCAGAGTGGGCCCAGACAAGGTGCCCAAGAGCGGGAATGGGGGGTAGGGGGCGAAGTTACATTTGCCAACCTTGGCTGAGTTATGTGTACTTTGGAGTTTTTGCAGGGCAAGGGATTTAGTGTCGGGAAGAAAATGCTTCAAGATACCTATTATTAAAACCAGGCGACAGTTTAGATGGCTAAAGCAGCCAGTAAATGAGCATTTCAGATAAGGCACCAAGCTAGAAGAGGTGCATTCTGTTGTCCCACACCTCTCGTCCTGTCCTTCTGATAAATGGTTCCTTTCTTATATTCCATTTCGAAAAAAGATAGGTTTTGGAGATCCGTTTCAAGCCCGGTTTGAACTAGGGGTGGGGTGAGGGTGAAAAACAGGTCCACTGTAAAATAGTAGCAATGGGTCCTTTTGTTGAGCAAATACTTAATGGCCCTCTTGGCTTAAGCCTTAAGCACCTTCATTGGGAGGAGGGTAGGATGTAGAGTGTTCTGCCTAGTTAAAACCATAAGCTCTTCATTGTTGCACCTACCTTTGTTAGAAAAAAATTAAAGATCAACAGAAAGTATACTAATGGTTACGTTTCTCAACATCAATATAGTTTAGATGCATTCACAACCATTTTAAGTTTAGTGCATTTGTATTTTAAATTTCCACATGGAGACATATAATAGTATGCACATGCTGTCATCACAGTGCTCCTCATGCGTTCTTTAATGGGGATATTCTAGCCGTATGGGGAGGTGGGGGGCTCTAGGTTTTGGATAGATCACTTGTGACATTAATAGCTCTGGGGAGGCTAATAGAGACAATAGGAGTTAAACGAACTCTTGAGAGATTACTAATAAAAGAGCCAATTATCATGTCGACTTGGAAAGAGCATCTCTTAAGATTTATCCCTTGCACATCTAATTTGACGTGACAAAGACTTCACAGATGCAAAAATGAAACTTTAAACTAGCTAACAATATGCTGATTGGGGTTAGAAATGAGAACAGTTTTATATAGCATCGTCCTCTGGTGGTGCCTAGAATCCTGAAATGTAACATTGCCACCATAAAAAAAAAAAAAAAAAAAAAGCTGCTACCAAAAGTGAATAGCATTTAATGGAGGAAACTTTATTTCTACTCACTAAACACAATTCAAATTACAAATTCATCCAAATCACTTGACACTAACAATTTTTGCTCTGAGCAAATACACTAACAGTCCTGACATCTTCAAAATGATAATTTTAAGCAAAAGCTAAATTTTTTGTTAGCCTAATTCACAAAAAGTTTTAAAACCCTTAACAGCAAACAAGAAACTAAATTGAAGAACATAAGATTCCCCGCCCCCCCTGCTAAGCAGTGCATTTATCATCTGTCCTTATATTTACATGAAATTGTACTATTTTAGCATGGTACACTTACTTCTTAACACTCATGGCCTTAACTCCACAGAATGAATTAACTAAACTATTAAATGGTTTCAAAATTGAAATGCTGCTTCCAAATCAGTTCAACTATTGCACATTTCATGTGTTTGTCCAAATATCATTAAACTAAATTAAATGGTCAAATCATGAATCAGAAAAAAGCTAGCCTGTTGCCATTACCAAGATACTGAAAGCCGATTATTTAAGCACAGCTCTTCTATGGCTATTTGCTAATTCTGAGCCTTTAGGAAATCCTATTTGAAAAAAATAAATACAGTTCTGCAAGTTCTCTTAAATAGCACTCTGCCTGTAAGGACATGCTTGGAATGCAGAAGGAAATGGCTTACCTTTCTTAATTACAGTTTGATCTGGGATGTTAATACCCGGGTCTTCTACATGCTGCAACAAAAGGATACACATGGATGTAAGTGTATAATCAAAACAAAAGGAAATGAATATTCCCTGCAAGATGGGGGGAGGGGAAGGTGTAGAATAGAAATTCCCCCTCCCATATAATGACATTTATATATAAACATCTCATCTTGGCTTATTGGAATTTGGGGCTTTGCAACTCAAGAGGTTTCACTGCACGCCCCCAACCAATTTCTCCTCCCCCAGCAAATAATCCATGTTAGAGGGGGGTGGGGGTGGGAGGAAAACTTTCTTTAGAAATTAAATCAAGTTTTGGAGTGCCTAATCTTTCTCACACTTAGTTCAACCTTTAGAAATGCACCTAGCTTTAGTTTGGCGCCTCAGCGGCTTCGGACTTCAGTGATTCCAGTGTTCAGGTAGCAAAAGCGAGAGAAACACAATAGAACAGGAGAGTGTTGGAAACCGTTTAGGTAATGTAATAAAGAGCAAACACAGTACACCTTCACTTATGGAAAACTAGAAATAAAAAAAAAATTTAAGGCTACTGCCTAAACTGAATGTGACAGCAATATGAAAATTATCAAAAAATGAAAAAATCTTTGGAGTTGCTTTCCTGATGTCCAGCAGCAGACTTGTCAGTGCAGGGTTTTTTCTCTTTCTTCTTCTTTTTTTTTTTTTCTTCTACAGATGGATGGGTATATGTGTGTGTGCTCCAGTCAAAACGTGATTAGAAAGTAAAATGAAATCATGTTTTCTAATGCAGAAACTGACAGGCAATATAATGTCTGGCTGTGTTTACAAATTAGCACCAGGGCTGCTGAGATAGAAGATTTCGCAATCGTTACCAAACACAGGCATTACCATTTAAAAAACTATTACTTCCTTCTCTAGTCTTTGTCCAACAATAATACTGATTCGAACATTTTCCATTCTGTCTTGGATTTATGCTCCTGTTAATTGTGCCTGATCGCAATGATTCCGGGTGGATGGTACTAAGTTGCTTTATTACAGGTTTTATTATACTCAATGCTCTCATTTGTAACTTGCCTAAAGTGCTTCTGGATTTAAGTATAATTAAATTGAGAAATGTTCAGAAATGACTACTGCTGCAGTTCTTGTGTTTTAACTATATGGGGAAATATGATCCCTTTATGCATGCACCCTAAACCCATAAAGTAAATGTAGTGTGGCATAATACTTTTATTTGTGTTATTTCTAGACCTTGTCCATACAGGGAAGACTGTTAAGTTTAAAACCCCACTGAGATATTAATGATTAAATAATTTTCACCATCGATTGGATTTTCTTAAATATTTAGCAGTCATTCTTATTAAAGGTTAACTGTTGCAGCAGTGGGAAAATTGAAAACAACCCTTTTCCTGACCCAAATTCCTTTGAAAGAATTTTTTTCTTAAAAGGTGGGGGAGGGAGAGGGAAGAGCAGCAATTGGGTTTCCTTGCTTTTATTTGATCTTTTGGTTAATTTCTCCCACTGACCAATTTCATCACAAAGAGTGATCATACAGGTATTAAGAAATTCTACCAACCACCTGAAATTTTTGCAAAGTAGAGCAATTCTAATTCACAGTAGCTCCAAAAGCTTATAACATTATTTTGTGCTTTCAATAATGCCAAAGAACAGGCAAGGAAAAGGATTCATAAACTGAGAAAAGGAACTAAAAGGATTACAACTTCCAATTCTTTTTAAAATTGCTCTTTCATAAGTCATTGTCCCTTTTATTTTACTTCCCCCAAAATGCACATTAAATGTTTGCTCCTAAAAACATGTAAATCTGAACACACACAATTCTCATTAACCATTACACTGATTCAAGTGCCCACTTTCTTGTTTTCCATGCAAGGCTGCTAAACATAACCAACAAATTTGTGATTGACTGGGCCAAATGAGAGTTGTAATAAATTTTCTATTTTCCTATACAACTTAAATAATGTTTTAAATCTTCCAAGCAAGCAGGTAAGTTCATGTGACCATTTTCCTTACAATCTAATGCAGTAATCATTAAACTGTCAACGGACATACTGCTGCTGTATTTGATGCAGTAATTTGAAATAGCATTTTAGCAAAAATCACATCCAGATACATTTCCTCTCCAAAGAAAAGCAGCTTTAACAGAACCCTTTACAGCTTTAATAAAATTATTGACCTGCTCTAATTCCATTTCGGGAAGGATGTGAGGAAACCATAAATATATGGAGTTGAAGCAGAGATGCTGGTTTAAATTTAATTTCAAAAAGTATTTTCAAATTATCAATAGGCTGGTTTGCATTGTAAATAGTAAATGTGATAATGCCATGCTTATTTAGGAATCATTTTAAACTGCATTTATTGATAACTGAATTAGAACTTAAATAACGTATTACCCAATAGTCTCAAAACATTTAATTTAATATGGGGTGTAGCAGGTTCTGATAGGCATTGGGAACCTAGCTAATGATTTATGAGGTCACCACTTAGCACCCCTAGGAAGAGAAGCCTGCATTTTAATGTCTCTCTACTTGGATTTGCTACTTACTTTTCTTTAATCAGAATAGGGTACACGTAACTTTTGGGTTTCACTACTGCTTATAAAATCCGCTAAAATGATCTTCATAGTATGTCTTCCACATTTTTCTTTTACATTGTGAGGGCCTTTGATAGGTTCTTTTGGTTAAATTTAACAGCTTTCCCAGGACAGTGAGAAATCCCCATGCCACACTCAGCGGTGGAAATTAGATCTTCTCACCATCGGAACAGTTTACTGTGGTCGAGAGGGGAAGATAGTGTCAATGGTGACGTTGTCTGATTTATTTCTGTGTTGGTGGACATGGTAATGGAGGCATTGTTTGAGGGAGCTCCAGGAACCATTGTTCTGGGGACAGTTCGCAATTGCTTTTTAATTTTTTAAATTCGCTGTTTACGTCGCTTCTCAAAGCACCCCCCTCCTCCCAAAAAATATTTGATAAAGGAAATGTCATCGAGGAAAACCCGGGCCGGTGGCCCTGTGTTCCCGGAATCTTCTCTTGAGGGTAGGTGAGAAGGGAAGCGTCCCCTCCCGCGCGGCCTCTTACCGGGACGTCCTCGATGGCGTGAGGTAAGGAGTGGATCGGGAGGTCTCCGAGTCCCGAGCCAAGCCCGTGCGGGCCGTGCAGGAGGTCCTCGTGCCGCCGGTAGTCCCTGCGAGGATCCAGGCCCGACAGCTGGTGGGGCAGCCCCCGGTGCGTGTGCAGGAGCCCAGACTCCTGGCTCTGCCTCTGGCCGGGCCAGCCCGGGTGCTGCGGCTGCGGCTGGGCGTGCAGGGGGTTCAGGCTGTAGGGGTCGTTGACGTGGGAGTAAGGATCTTGCGACTGGGGGTAGATAGGCTGGTAGGGCGGGGGGAAGGGAGGGGGCTGGAAGTCGGCATTGGGGGTGTGGGACAGCGGCGGGGCGCTCGTGTAGGGAGATTGACCTACAGTGCCCAGCTGGGGCAACCGCGCCGTCCCGTTGCTGGTGCCGTCGTGACGGTCCTAGAAGAAAGAGAGAGGGAAAGGAAAGAAGAAGAAATCAGGCGTCGAGTTACAACGGTCTCCACTAAATGCACCAGTCTAGGTAGGAAATCTCCCGTTCCCCTCGGCAAGCCACCGGGAAAAATATCAGCTCTACTCTGTTCATTTCGGAAAATACCCGAGAAGTGAAACAGGCCCTTCGGGGGGAAAAATACCGCAAAGGAATTAGACCATGTACCTACAGGGCACAAGAGACTGTCCTCAGGCGTTTCTTTCAAAAGGGGGGAAAGATAGAAAAGGGTCTCTTGGAATACAGCCCCTTCAATTGCACCGTGAAACCTCCCTTAAGCTAAATTAAAATTCCTACTAAATATTAAACAGCAGAAGCGGCCTTTTCTCGTTCCCCGGATTTGAACCTGCCTGCCACTGAGTTATTGTTTACTCTCTTCCATTTATTTGGAGGGAAAAAAAAATCACAAACCTTCAAAGACTATTACCATTTCATGACTATTTAAATAGAAACACGTTTCGCACTGGGGCTGTAACGAAAGCACACGTTTAAATTACCAGCTTAAAGAAGCTTTTAAGTGCAGGATCAGGGATCTGTCTTTTCCGCTTTCTCAGTTAGGAGCTTTTTCTGGACAAGGTCGATTTATGGTAGAAATGGAGAGAGGGGGGGCGTCAAGTCAAGGTTTAAAAAAGGAAGATTCAGCCTTATTTGGTTTAAAAGCGAGAGGTGCACCCCGGGGCGAAGGCCCCCGCCCCTTGCACCCCAGCCCCAAAGGGCAAAAGAAACGCCTGACTTTATGTTCCTCTATTGCAATTCGCTTGCAAAACAGGCAGAGTTGGTTCTAGGGAATGCGAACCCTCGGAGGTTCAGCTGCAGACCCTAGGGGTAGGGGGCACACCGGGCTGCGATTTTCCTGCAGACAGATTAAGCAGGAACAAATGAAGACGCAAGGAAATAAAGATGAACAGGGCGAGAAACACGCCTTGGGAAGCAGCTGCGGGGTAGGTCCGAGTGCGCGGAGAGGTCGAGTGGGGGCGGGGGTGGGTAGCAAGGCTTACGATTTAGGGATGGAAAGGGGCGAGAGAAAGGAGAGGGGGAAATGCAAATGGAAGAAGGTATCATGAAAGAAACCTGGGCAGGAAACCCGAGGTCTCGGGCAGCTTCGCGGCACCAGGTTTCCAGAATAGAATTCCTAAGGAGACAGGGATGGGGGTGGGGGTGGGACTCACCATAGCTGAAAAACTGTGAACTAACATCTGCGAAGAGTCTGGGGTAACGAGTCAGGGTGGAAAAAAAGAAAAGAAAAAAAAAAAAAGCAAGCCCGGAGCACCCGGCTGCCCAGCCGCCCGAGCGCGCCCCACACAAAAGGCGCCGAGAGCCCCGCGCCACCCAAAGACTCCAGTCACGGCGCGGACGCTCCCCCGAGCGCCGGAGCCCCGCTCGGATCCATGAGAACTTGAACCACCGATTCGCGCGGCTCCTTCAGCTGGTCGAACCCACGGTCTCTATCCTGCCGTGATCAGTTACGATACAAAGTTCTTTAAAAAAAAAAATGAAGAACCCCCAAAAAGGAAAAAGTGTGTATGAGTGTATGTGTGTGTGTGTGTGTCCCTTAATCCGTGTCTCCCCTCTTTTCTTAGCGGCGGCTTCACTTGAGCTTCTAATAACCGCGCTGGGCAGCGTTCCTGGAGCCTCCTAATAGCAGAGATTCATGACTATTAATATTACACGAATACTTAATAAGGGAAGAATGCCTGGAAATCGAGCGTGAAGCGGGGAGGCCACTCGCGCCGGAGCCGGCTCTCAATGCAGTCCATTGACGGGAGCCTCAGTGTAGCAAATCGGAGGTGGGGAGAGAGAGCGCGAGAGACAAAAAGCGGGCGAGAGAGGGAGCGGGCGAGCGCGCGGGGGGCCGCGGCGCGGCGTCTGGCGAATCACAGGGAAGGGGCAACATTTTAAAAGGTTGCAGGGCATGCAAAAGTGAAAGAGAAAGAGGGAGAGAGGGAGACCGAGGCGCGGAGCGCAGAGAGGGAGAATGTGTCTGCGTGCGTGTGTGAGAAAGAAAGTGTGGGCGACCGAGAGGAGCGCGGAGTGGGCAGAGGGGAGGGAGGAAAGGAGGGAGAGCCCGAGAGGAGGAAGGGAGGGAAAGAGGGAGGAGGAGGAGGAGGAGGAGGGGGCTGAGCCGGAGCTCGCGGAGGGGGAGGCCGTGGGGGAGGGGGAGGGGGAGAGGAAGCCAGCGAGGACAATCAGACCTAAAAGGCTGGGGCAGACCTCGGGTTGTAGCGGGGGTCGCGGGTAGCGGGCAGGAGCTGCAGGGGACCGCGTCCGGGCGTTCATCGGGCTCTCCGCTCCGGAGGCGCTGCCCGGCCCTCTCCGGCCACGGGCTCCTCTGCTCCGCAGCGGAGTCTGGGACTCCGGACTCGACTGCCCGCTGCCGCGCGGCTCCTCCACGGCCCAAAGCCCGGACTGAGACCCGCCCGTCCGCTTCATGGGCCCTCTCCTCGGCCTCCTCTCGAGCTTCCCTTCGGACACCGGGACCGGACCGTGCGCTCGCGGCCGCTGTCGCTCTTCGTTCTACTCTCCCCGGGCCTCGGCTCGGGGAGGGGGAGCCGGGACTCGGCTCGGGGCGCGCACAGACACGAGGCGGCCCAGCCCGGGCGCCGCTGGCACGGGCTCCGGGCTCCCGGCACAAACCCGTCCGACTGGCTGGGCCACTCCCCCCCCCCCCCCCCCCCCCCCCAGATGACACGGCTAGCTCTCCCCGCGCTGCCTGTCTGCCCGCCGGGTTGTCAGAACAAGCGGCACCTTGCCTCCTGCGTGTCCCTGCAGAGCCCCGGCATAATCAGACAGCCCCTAGCCGGCTCGGAAACCCGAAATCCCCGCTCCAGCGCTAGCCCACAGTCACCAAAGTTGTTGAAACAGCCTTGAGTTTAGCTGTTTTTCTCTCCCTCTCCTTTCTCATCCCTTTTGGCCTCATTCACACCCACCCCCACGTAGTTCCTCTGGGGGTGCAAGTTCATCTCCCGCCTTCCTGGTCCCGGTCCCTTCTGCGCGCGGAGCTGCCAGGGAGCCCGCACCTAGAACAGGGTTTCGGCCTCCACGAAAGTAAAATGCCCCAGCCTCGGGCCAGAACTGAGATCAGTACAAAATGATTGTCCTAGCAGAAGATATGGGGTTCCATTTCATCCCGACCCGTCCGACAAACGCCCCCACCCCATCGAAAACAAAGCAACTTGTCTGACGTGGGGTCCCTGCGTCCCTCCCCATAAGCGACAGAAGTCCCGAGAGAAGCGCTGGTACCCGTGGGATGTCACCCCATGCCCCATCCACCCAGATGGGGGGGGGGGGGCAAAAAGGGGGAAGCCTGAAAGATGTAAAATAGCATTCTGAAAGAAAAGGGAGGAGGGAGTGGGTAACGCATCGTTCGCATATATTCAGTTTCTGATTTCAAGTGAAGGCAAGACTCCCGCCTCTATGCGGGTACACAGACATCTCTGCCTGACATTCCCAGCTCCAAATGCCAAAAGGCAAACGAAAAAAGAGAAAGAAATAGCAAAAGTTGTGGCTGCCAGGTATTTATTCGGATGATCTCGAGCCTCGTTCGCCCACTCTCTCCCCTGGACTCATCCGTTCATTTAATGGGGTTTGCAAAGGGAGAGTGAGGCTTATTCCCAGAGCCTCCCTCAGATGGATCATTGGCTCTCCGGCCTTCCTGGCTGCCCCCAAGAAGCTCTGGAGCCTTAGGTTTTAAGATGTTTTCCAAAGGGCGCGCTCTGTGGGCCCGGCGGGCTCCCCGCACCAGGGGCGGCCCACAGACGCGCCAGGATTCCCACGGTCGCTCAGCTGAACGCCAGCGGCTGCTGGGGCGGTTGCTCTCGGACCCAGAGGCCACAGCGCTGAAAGCAGCCGCATTCCCACCACCGCCACCACCACGGGGTGTATTCACCCAATAGCTCAACGGGAGAAGCTGCTCAGAACTTTTTGAAACACAGGAGACTCAGAAGTGAGCCCAACAGCTCCCAAGCTGAACCCACTAACAGGGAGGTGCAACTCATCTCAGAAGGAAGTGTGAGGTCCCTTCTCCAAGTCCAAAAAGAGAACCTCAGAAAGAAAGAAAAAGAAAGGAAGAAAGAAGAAACTGAATGCACAAATAAAAGAAGGAATATTAAATATCAGAGAGGAATTTGAAGAGAGAAAGGGTTTTCTTTTTCCTTTCTCTTCCTGGTGATTTGGGTCCCCGGAATCTCGCTGAAGCTACACGCGGAATGCACAGCACGTGCCCAGTTGCCAGCGATTGTTTAAAAAAAAAAAAAATCCATGCTCGTCCCACTCAGTCACAGCTCAAAGTGGTCAGAGAAGGGGAAAAGTGGGACAACAGCTTTGAATGAGGAAATGAAAGAAAGGAGCGTCTACACTGTCCTTCCCCAGCTTCTCCACGGTCTTAGGGGAGAATCAGAGGGGCCGGCGCTGCACTGGTGAAAGTTTGTCCCACCCGCATGTCGCAGCTGGCTGCAAGGAAAGGATGAGGAGAGGCAGGATCGAGCCCCGAGCCGAAGACCGCTGGGATGAGTGGGCCAGCACCGCGCTTACCTCGCAGTCCTCGTACTTGATATTATCCGTCAGTTTCCAAAGCATTTTCATGGATCGCTGTGAATGGATTTGCCCCTCTCCGCCTCGCACCCAAGTGGAGCTACTCTCTGGGTAAGCGCAAAGTGCCGGCTGCCGGCTGCCGGCGGTGAGCACAGGAGGAGGAGGAGGAGGGCGAGGAGGAGGAGGAGGAGGGTAAGGAGGAGGAGGAGGAGGGCGCGGAGGAGGAGGAGGAGGGCCAGAAGGAGAAGGGCGAGGAGGAGGAGGAGGAGAGGAGGAGGAGGAGGAGGAGGAGAGAAGGGAAAGAGCTCCCGTGTGCGCTCGGAGATCTCCCTCTAATGGTAGAAACTTTTCCCTTTTCCAGCTCTTTACCAACAGCCTAATCGCCTCATTAGCATATCAACAATAGTCCAATTGCTCGCCAGTACCACAGTCTGCCGCCGGCCGCTCCGACCCAAGTATAAAGGCCTTTGCAAGCTGCGAACTTGCTCTTAGAGTGCACGCCTGCATGCTAGCGAGAAAATCTTGCCCGATTCCACCTCGCTCCCCTGCCCCAAAGGCCCCTTCCCCAGACCAATTCCATCCCATTTCCTTCTCTCTCTCTCTCTCTCCTTGCTTTCTCCTAGCCAAAAACACCTTCCACAAAGCTCCGCACTACCGAGGGTCGGAGTGACCCGGCCTGAAGACCGACTTGTAGTACCCCCCACCCCCACCCAGGCCAACACCACAATCCGCGCTGCCCTTTCAGCACCATCCAATTTTATTAGAAACCATTATCCCTTTCGCAATTAAAATAACCACCAAATCAAGACCAGCGAAGTCACTCCAGGATTTTTGCCCAAGGAGAGATCGCCTGGACTCAAGGCAGTTACCCCCTCGGGCCGCAGCACCTTGGGAGTTTTATTGGCTTTATGCTTTCCCCCAGGTTGGAGATGATGCCAAACGGCTACAGTCGCTGGGCTGGGATTTGCCATCTCTTAATTGCCGTGTGTAAAATAAAAGTTGTACCCTGAAGAGGTTACTCGACAACTCCAGGGGTTAAGTGACTTTCCTCTGATTGTATGAAGCTGAGGCCAACTGAAAATTCATCTTGGTGTTCGGGCTAAGGTTTCTTGGGTTCGAAGTGAACAAGAATACAGAACTTCTATGGAGACACTCAGCCGCTTCTGGAATTGAGCTGAAATACAGACCCGAGTGCGCCTGCAAATCTAGGTATCTTGTCACTTGTGCATCAAAATAAATCATTGGGAACCAGCTCTTTTCTGTGCTAATCGGCTCCAGTTTTCCCAAGTTTCCCCTTTTTAATTAAAGAAGGAAGAGTTCCTTTATGATTTGATGATACTAATATGGAGCTCACTGGCAGCACAGTGCCCATCTGGCTGACAAGGAACCTGGAAGCCGGAAGGCCACCCCCCTGTCCAAGTTGGCCAGATCAGTGTCTCCAGTTCCATACAGGGGCATGCTCGCTCCATCAGGGTTTCCCACCAACACACTTCTGTTTTATTCAACTATTTTTTAAAGTGAGAAAGGAAAAGAGAAAGACCTAGTGTGGTAATTCCAAATACAGAGTATTTCCTCTGGCTGAGCTTTCCTACTTATCCTCCAAAAAAGTTTGTCTTTCTCCAGTTTGAATACTGCAAACTCTTCAACAACAGTTGGTCTCCCCTCAAAGACCTCAGACTCATCTTAGCCTGTTTTTAAAAAATATCCAGGCCTCCCAGGTTCCACAGTGCATCCTGCATGTGGGTGGAAGCTGTTGGAAATCTAAGCACTTTCTAACAGGTGGAAGGAAGGCAGGATGAGGGAGGTACCCACAGAGGGGCAATTCTCCCACCAGAAGACTTAAGCAAAGCCAAAGACCCCCACTCCCCTGCCATAAAAAAAAAGAAAAAGAAAAAGGAAAGAAAAAGAAAAAGAAAGAAAAGAAAAATAAAAAAGAAAGAAACTAAGAAGAATGCTAGAGTAGGCAAGAGAATTCGGTGCTGGGGGGATGACCTCCAGAAGTTCTGGACCCTGCCTTGAACCGGCCTTCAACCCATGAATTGGGAGCAGTTTCTTAGTCAAATGGGCTGGAGGCTTGGACTCCACTCTGCCTGGAAAGGGGTCAATTTCTAGGGCTAGACTCTATGGGCCTGTCGTCCAGCACAATAGTTGACATCAGGAGCTGAGCCTCCAGGAGCCAGAGTACTGAACCCATGATAGCCACAGCCATAGTGCACTGTGACCAATAGGTCGAATCCTAGTCCTGAGAGCAATATTTTTATGCCCCATATACTCTCCACTTTATGCTATGGGAACTCAAAGTTTCGCTTTCTTTTGCTTCTGTTTGTGGGTTGAAAAAGGCATTTAAGGCCTTTTATCCTCTCCAACTCCACCTCCACCCTCCTCCCCTGTCATCACTGCCCAGTGCCCCCGCAGATCTCTGGCTCCAAACTGGCCAGCCTGCTAAACTGTTGTTGTATTCCTGCGGAGGGTGCTATTG